TAGTATGTTCTCGCTATAAACACTTTCTAAAACGAAGTAATAACCAACTTAAACTTTTCAATTGTCATCTTACCTTTCTAATGCAATATACCTTCATCATCTGCATAAGGAGTTATTATCTCTTAGTCGATTTGATATGCAAGAGCATGCTCTTAGAATGAACAATTTCTAAAGCGAGATAAATTATTGAAAAACAAGTTGATGAAACAAGAATATCAGAGGTCTCATTTAAAGTCATCATTTCGTACGTTTTATGGTCGATACAATGACCTTAACAGCAAATACGGTTTGTCATTCAGTCAGATGCTGACTAATGCTTTTCATTCTTGTTGTTAGTCCATTGTTTGTACACTTAGTTGACGACGTATTTTCCCGTTGTTTCCAGATCATGACAAGGAGCACACGGCGGATGTGACAGTTCGAAAGGGGATGCTCACTCCTCCATGACACCTGATCCCACCTCCGATGTTTTGGAGGTCAGTGTTTGCTCTGCTCCGATTTTGTATTGTAACGTGGACCATAAATACAATTTAGAAGTCTTTGTGTTTATTGACATGATGAGTACCCCTATATACACCCAACTGAGATAAAACATAGTTTTTTGAGTGAATTGTACAAACCATACTGGAGAGATACCAACTCAAGTACTTTATGTGACTAAAGCAGTAAACTGTTTATGTTTCTTGTAGTTTTAGAAAAAATAATTTTCATGATATCTGATTGATGCTTCTGTAATCTTGCATTAATATATCTTATTAGAATATGAGATCTCTGGATAACTATTCGAAAAATCATATGTAAATTAACATTTTTTTTCTTTATTTATATATTTTATTTAGAAGCTCTAGTTTTCAAGAAAGAAGATGGATCGTTATAACATTGAAGATAACCCTTGTTGTGATCTGTGCTAAACAAAAATTGTTCATAGTCACTGTACCATTTGTCAACTCCATGTCTGCAAGAATTGTGTTGGGGAGCATCTCTCTGATTTGTCCAAGAAACACAAAGTTATGCCATACCAACAATGGATTTCTACTCCTCAACATCCAAAATGTTCAGAACATGTGAACGAGCAATGCAAGCTTTACTGTGAGAAATGTAAAAATCCCATATGTGTGCAATGCATAGACTCAAGAAATCATGATGGGCATAAGATATCAACAAGTGAGAAAGTGTATGAATTATGCAAAGCGAATTTGAGTAAAGAACTACAGGAATTAGAAAAAAATATCTATCCAAAGTACGAGAAAGAAGCTCATGATTTTCATTCCGAAAATGCAAAATTTGAAGAGGAATTCAAAAGGATTGAAGATTCGATCACAAAGCAAGGTGAAGCGTTGCATACAGAAATTGATAAAATAGTCAGAAAGCATCAATCAAATCTTCTTAAAATGAAAGAAAATTATACTTCTGCTATTCAAGAGTACGATGGTAAACTTAAAGGTTCTATGTCTGCCGTAAACAATTACATCCTTGCGTTGAAGAAAATATTAGATTCACATGACATGGCTCCAGCATTTAGACACAATTCAAGAAATGAAGAATTCCGTGAATTACCCTCCAAACTGACGATTTCATTGCCAAGGTTTTCGCCAACAGCAATAAACAATGAACAACTTCTTAACCAGTTTGGGTCTCTCTCATCATTATTAATTACAAGGGAATGAGGTACTTAGAGAAGCAGCATCAAATATATACCGGTACTTGCTTTTGTAAAATCCTTGAAATAAAGCTTATGAGGCTTCGTTATTTAACCAACCATGCTAATACATGAATTCTGTTTATGTAAAAATAGAATTATTATTATGTAGACATCAATACACAAGGAAATGAAATATATGGAGAAAAAGAACAGTATTCAAGCTCAAAAGTACATGTAAATTAAACAGTACAGAATAGGAGCAGAGCAAACACGGACCTCCAAATCACCAGAGGTAGGATCAAATAAAGGCTCAAAACGTCCTTCTACAAAGCCTAATCTAAATTTCTTAAACGAAGTAAATTATTGACAAGCAAGTTGATGAAACAAGAATATCAACAGTCTCGTTTAAAGTCATCATTTCGTAAATTCTATGGTCGATACAATGACCTTGTCAGCAAATACAATTTATCATTGAGTCATATGCTGACTGACGTTTTTCATACCAATTGTTAGTCCATTATTTATACACTGAATTGACGACGGATTTTTTCCGTTATTTCCTGATCATGACAACGAGCACACGGCGGGTGTGACCGGTCGGCAGGGGATGCTCACTCCTCCATGGCACCTGATCCCACCTCTGATGTTTCAGAGGTCCGTGTTTGCTCTGCTCTTATTTTGTATATTGTTTAATGGACGTTGAGATTGAATACACTTAACAAAACTTCTAAGTGTTCACTTTAAAAAATGTATTTATTTAAAAAATACTTTATAGAATGGTATGATATTTTCAAATAATTACAACATATGAGTCTTCTCAACAATTGTAGAAAGAAAATAAAATATCACCGATGAAAACCAATGTTCCGTGACGAAGCTTAAAAACAATAAATCTGTACTTTGCAGCGCGCGTTTTGTGTAATTAGCATCTTTTTGTGATCATTATCAAATTTTGAAAACTAGTTTCACTAAAAAACACAAAACATTGGCAAAATAACCACTGATAATGAAGGGAGAGCTGTTGAAATGTTGATATCTGGACCATCCTTGCACCACGTTTTACTCACTTTTAGTTTAGTGTTTAATTGTCCTTGATATTACTTTTGAAAATTACCAACCAGTATCAAAACCCATTCAAACACATTGTTCTATAGGCTTTGCATCATTTTTAATCGCCAATTTATCACAATGTGAATGTTTTGGACAAAATTTAAGCAAACTGGAAGTGACCTTGATCTTCGTCTGAGGCCAAAATTTCGCGTCACACCAGGTTCAAAGAGTGTCAAATTGTCCTGAAACAATCTTAGAAACATAAAAAGAAACAATTTCAATCGTATGAAAATGATAAGAAATTGGTGTTTGTGACAGTGTTCTACCAGCTCAAGCAGTCTGAATCATTCTCAAGGCGGTGCACTTACGTGCTCAACACCCTAGGATATTGACCAAAAGGCATCTGTGTGATGATTCACTGTCACATTCCCGGATCTGAATCTCATTGAACATGTGCACATTTGGGATTTTTATCAGAAATGTCAAAGCCCCCCCCCCCTTTCCACACAATTTCAACGGTTTGGAAAGATCTATGCAGTAGGAGTGGCAACAAATGGCCAAATCTCCTATTCAGGGGTACATGGTATCCAACAGTAAAAATTGTCTCGTAGTAATTATAGCGAGTGGTGGTCTTACTCCATAGAGATTTTTTGTGTGAATTTTCATTTTGAGGGTACATCATTTCCTTGACACTTTGCTTAAAATTCTGACGAGATACTTACATGAAATCTACGCAACATCGAACTTAAATATGCATCATTAACCATGAATTAAAGAAATTATTAATTAAATGCATTTGTTCTTTAAAACTTAAAAAATGTTAGGTGAACACTTAGAAGTTTAGTTCAGTGTACTGTTCGTTATCTCCATATCCTTCTTCTAAAAACAATACATACAAAAATATGAGAACTAATTGAATTTGAAGAAAACATTGTATCTGAATCTGTTTTATACTGTGAAACGTTTTTATTATCAACAGAGACCGTTTATCTGTTTTTGTGAATGGTTCGAGTTCATAGAGAAATAATGTTGAAGGTCAACATGCATATAAATTATGTTAGTGATGTGCAGCATTTAGTATATTATGCCATGATATCTCTTTTAATTAATAAAGTGCTTGATTAAAAAGTTTGACTTTCTTCTTTTCATATCGTTTCCTCAATATATGTCTGTTGTATTCTTTCAGAGGTATCTTTTATCAAATTTACATCTAAAAATATTTTTCTGTTGCATTTAGAAGGAAAATAGCTGCCTATTTGTAATTTTAATGATGATAAAATGTGTTTCATTTATGAACTGATAATCTTTGGACTTTAGACACCTTTTTAATATCAAAATGTTTACAAGATATAATTTGTCAATTGATATAATACATGGATCTGCAATAAATTAAAAATAACAATCTCTTATCGAGAAGAGGAAATATAGTAAAAGATCACACAGCTTGCACAAACAGTTATGGTTACGATTATATAACCAACTTTCCTTCTTTTTATGGAGATATTCGTATTTCCGGTCAATGTTTCATCGCTTGTTTCTTGCATGTTCTTCGTTGTAAATATCTTTAAATGATTTATTTTATCAGAATGATAGAGCTCTGTTTCACCTACAAATGGAGAATATTAGTATATGGTTATTTATAAGCTTCTGACGTAATAGAGTTGGCTAAAAATACGAACAAACCAATTTACTTCCTCTTTCAATACACGCTTATTTCAAAGTTAAGCACAAAAAAACGTACTAATTTAATAGAATTAATTCTGATATTATTCATAAAATTTTTATTTTAGTGCATATGTCTTATTGACTGCCAAAATTAGACATTCGAAATTCTCATTTGCTCTACTTTCAATAGGATGACCTTCAAAAAGGACCGGATCTATACATAATATAGTTGAACATGCGCAGAAAATTGTAGATAAAGAAAAAAAAACACCAAGGCAAGAAATTTGACGGTATGTACATGGCATGAGTAACAAATTCACAATTAAAGAAGTATAAATAATGATAAGAATAGGCTAAAACTCTTTCGTGAAACTCATTATTTGCAATAGTCGGGATGGGTTTAAACACAATGATAATACATGTATCATGTGATATGTTTTATTGTTGTTTTCTCATGTTTATTTTCCAACAGAAATAAATATTCCATAGAAGTATGTCTCTTGAACACGGTGCTCAGGATATCGTGCATTGTGAGATGTGTAAAGTTGAAGTTTTGCTAAACTATTGTAAAATTTGTCAACTTGGCATCTGCAAGAATTGTGTTGCAGATCATCTCTCAGATCTATCCAAAGAGCACGAAGTGATGCCCTTAAAACAATGGAGATTGTCTCTGAAGTTTATGAAATGCTATCAACATTTAAATAAAGAATGTGAATTATATTGTGAAAAATGTGCTCAAGCCATTTGTGTGCAATGTGTTGTTAAACATCAAGGGCATAAATTATCAAAAATCGAAAAAGTTTTTGTGAGCCGTAAAGAGGTTTTCAAAAAGGAATTAGACGAACTACAGAATAAAATTTATCCCAAATATAAGGAAACGTTGTGTACTTTTGAAGATGAAATTTCTAAGCTTAATGAAGACTATGTGATACTTCATAACTCTGTTGAAAAGCAAGGTGAAGAATGGCATAAGGAAATCAAGAAAATTGTCGAAAAACAAAAGTCTGAAATTGAAAAGCTAAAACAAAAGCACCACGTTGCCATAAAAAATCATGAAGACAAATTCAAACAGGTCATGTCTCAGTTGTATAACTGCATTCAACATTTGAAAAATGTTGTAGAATCAAATGATATGACCGAAATTTTCACAAACAGATTACGCTATGCTGAATTCAGAATATTACCCCCTAAACAAAAAATTGTTTCACCAATTTTCTATCCACGAGAAATAGATGCACAAAATCTATGTGATCAATTTGGATACCTTTCGCCATTATATGCAACCATTGAAAATTCGAAAGATGAAGCAACCGAAAATGGATCCTCTCAAGCAACTCATTCTGTGTGTAATGAACCAGAACTGATAACCACATTGCACACTAAATACGTTTGCCATACACTTGCCTGTTTGAATGATGATAAAATCTGGACATGTTCAAAATATCAAAACACTATGAAACTTATCACTGTACAGGGTACACTACTTAAGCTACTGAAAACCAAATCAGGCAAATGTTCTGAAGACATAGCGGTAACAAATAGTGGGGATTTATTTTACACGGATTCTTTTACTAAAACTGTAAACCTGGTGAAAGATAACATAGTTCAGGAAGTGGTCACACTAGCAGATTGGAGGCCTTATAATATTTATTGCAAGACACTTGAAGAATTTCTTGTTTTTGTGTATAGTGATGACTTTCAACACTCAAAAGTCGTCCGTTACTTTTACTCAAAAAAGACCAAAACGTTCAATGAGAAACTAACCATCCAGTTCGATGATAAAGGCAATTCGTTGTTCTCTATGCATGATACCAAATACCTCTGTGAGAACGGAAATCTGGATCTATGTGTGGCTGACCATGCCGCTGGAGCAATAATAGTGGTGGATCAATTTGGAAACCTGCGTTTTAGATATACAGGTCCTTACTTTACCATAAAACAAAAACCCTTTCAACCTCGTGGCATTTCTACAGATAGCAAGAGACGTATCTTAACAGCCGATCATAGTAATGAATGCATTCACGTCCTTGATCAGAATGGACATTTCTTGTGCTACATAGATTGTGGTCTTCGTACTCCTTGGGGCTTATGTGTCGACTCGACCGACCATCTAATTGTCTCTGAGTACTCTAATCGCACAGTAAAGAAGATAAGATATGATAAAACACTAAAGTAGAATTTTAATTTGTGCAAGTTTGTGAAAAAAACACTATAGAAGAATGTTACAATGTGCAAGATTATGAATAAACATTAGAGTAGAGTGTTATTTTGTGAAATTATGTTAATTGTAATCTAACAACCAAGCTATATGATAAACGTGATATGACTTTAACTTTTCTATTTTCATCTTCCCTTACTTATGCAGCAATATACCTTCATCACCTGCATACGGAGTTTATATGTCACAGTTGAATCTATGCACAAGAGCATGCTCTATGTATGAACAATTTATAAAATGAGTTAAATTATTGACAAACAAGTTGATGAAACAAGAAAATCAGCAGTCTAATTAAAGTCATCATTTTGTAAGTTGTATGATCGATACAATGACCTTGTCACCGAATACAATTTATCATTGAGTCAAATGCTGACTGACATTTTTCATACTAATTGTTATGCCATTATTTACACACTGAATTATCGGTGGATTTTTCCGTTATTTCCCGTTGATGACAAGGAGCACACGACAGGTTTGACCGGACGGCAGGGTATTGAGTGATTGACTGATTGATTGTATGTTGTTTATTGTCCTTCTCGAGAATTTTTCACTCATTTGGAGACGCTACCACTTGCCGGTGGATAGCTGCAAATTTTGTCCTATCCTCAACACTCAGGGCCATTGAGTAATAAAGGATCTTTTTCGTGCCAGCATCTATTACGACAAAGGACCTCGGATTATACAGTCTTATCCGACGGGAATATCATTTAGTATGCTCAAAATAAAAAAACCCCCAAAATTTAATGATACTTTCACTGATTCTTTATTACAAAATGTCATGGCACACCTCCCATTTTACGTTTGTCTTCTCCTTATTTTGGGTCTCTCAAAACATAACATGGACTTTCCCTATATAGTCATATGGGAGGCGGTAGACAGTTCAACTTTTGCCCCTTAAGAAACATTTTTGAAGAAAAAAAATGAGGGTGGATGAAAGACGATTCAACAATTTTATTTGATTACTCAAGTTCCGTGCTTTTGGGGGGAACTTGGAAGGTATTTCATTCTCCAAGTCTAAGCAGAAAAAATTCCAAGAATTGTTCATTTTTCTTAAACTGTGACATGATATTAAGTCTCCTCCAAAGAAAGAAAAAAATATTTGTATCATCTGTCTGAAAGACCCCAAATAAGTTTCAGATCAAAAAGTACAATATGTCACAATGGCACTGTGTAATAAAGAAACCGTAAAAGTATCCTTAAATCTTATTCAGCAGTATAGGATGAAGAAAGAGGGCGTATAAGGCGTGGACAATCCTCCGCTCTGAGACAAAATGTTTCGATTCTCAATTTTCAAAATTCACAGAAAAGTTATATTTTTCTAAAATCATGTTATCAGTAATGTAATCTTCAAAACATTTTATTATTTCATTTTACTGAACGACTTATCATTCGATAATCTTTATTTCAAAGATGACAGTTAAGCATATTTAGTGTATGGCACGCCAAATTCACAAAAATGAGCAAAAACCTAGTTTCACAATTGATAAACTAGGTTTATCGACTGTAAACTATAGTTTACAAATCGTGAACTATAGTTTACAATTCGTTAACTATAGTTTTCATCTGTAAAACTATATTTAACGGTTGTTAACTATCGTTTACGAATGGTAATCTAAGTTTATCTGTCTGTAACAAAACGTTAACAAAAGATTTTGTTGATAAACATAGATTCACGTTTGTAAACTATAGTTTACGATCGTTAACTATAGTTAAGAGTTGTAAACCATAGAGTTGTAAACCATAGTTTACAAATCGTAAAACTGTATTTATCAGATAATCTGCAATGGCAAATGATTGTTTTCGGTGTTAAGTATAGTAGCATTTGATGACATTTCCCACATTTATTTGCCTGTAAGTTCATAGAAAATTGCTTTATTTGTTTTAATTTATGTAGTAAACCATACAATATAATCTCAGGTTGACAGTGTGTAAAGCATAATGCCTATTAGATACATGTTCCATAGAATTTATGCATATGATAAGGATTCAGGGGCTAAAGTTGTTATTTTACATTATGACGCAACTGCATTGTGACATCAAAGTGTGACGTCATGTCAAAAATGGAAGCTTCGCAAGGTCATGACCTTCAGTTTAATTGATCGCAAATGAGAATATGTATCTTCTGTATAGATATACATGTGACATAGACTTATTGAGTATCTAGTTAGGGTGACACTGTCCAGATTTTTTAGGCAATCTTCTAATTTAAGACAGTGACTACTTCCAATTAGACCCCCCCCCCCTGTTTATACAGAAACTAGAAATATCTGTAAAAATTGTTTGGCAGCTTTTCAAAAAAATTATAATGTAACATTTTATTGATATTCAAATACTGTATATTTCATACTTTGTGATTTTAAAATGGAGAAAAATAAAATTATTGTGTGAGCTGATTCAGTTAGGTTTGAATTTCTCTTCGAAGTCCTGTTCTATGCGTCGACTAATGTCGTAGACATGTAATACTAAATTTACAATTAATTGCCCATTTCTGGACCAAATTCAACAATTTATGCACCAAAATGTTTGGAATTCTGTCCTCTTTGCACATAAATACAAAAAAGTGAATTGCAAAAAAAATTTATTTCCTTTAAGGTAGCTAAACACAGTTTCGTATAAAATCCAGGGGGGTTTTCCCAGAGAGAAGCATGCTGGGTAGGGATTTTCCTGCTATTTATAGGAGTCTAGATGAAAACTGCATCTTTTTTGTTTTTATTCGCATAAAGTAGAGCCTTATCTTAATATTTAAAGAAAAAAAATATGCATTCATTTTTAGAAAAAAAAATTGTGAGACTTTTTAATAGGGGGAGATAACTCCCAAAACATCCAGTTTTCACATGTGCAGAATTGCATGAGTCAATTAGCAGGTAATGTAGCTCTTTCAAGAGGTGGAAAATGTACCCTAAAAACACACTAAAAGAAAACCTTAGGACTTGTTCTGTGAAATGCATACAACTTATTTTGTCTGATTTTTTCTGTTTTTGTTGAGCAGGGGGGTTAAAAATGCATAGGTGCACTGAAAATGGATGCATAAACAACCCAATATCCCCCATTTTTCAGGTGTCAAATACCCCCTAGTATTAATTGATGAATGTATTATTGTTGGATATTTACAAAATTCACAATTTTATCTTTCCATTGATATGCAGAAGTCTATGTAACAATTCTCCATTTTATTTTTTTATAGGGGTCAGTTTTGCTTGTCCCTCACCAAGTAACGTCCTGATAACGTCATACATAAAACTGTGTTTTGCACCCTTACGGTTGTGAAACATAGATTATCGCGTTAACCATGGTTTACAGATGTAAAATATAGATTAACGTTGTTAACTATAGTTCACAGTCCGTAAACTATAGTTTACAACCGATAAACCTAGTTTATCGACTGTGAAACTACGTTTTGCTCATTTATGTGAATTTGGCGTGCCATATTAGTGGAAAATGAGTTTAATAGAGCTATAAAAGACGAATTTTGAACACGAATGGGTCAAGTCTCCATTCTTCGTGAACGCTTAAATGATGGACACGTAAATGTGAAATCTATTTTATTTGTCAAAAAAAATGGAATCTGAACCCATTCTATATGAAAATCGAAAAATTCTGAAAAAAAAATGTACGCTTCAACAAGCCCGTTCATTTAAATCAGACTGACATATGTCGATAAAGCATACAAACCCTGCGCTATGAAGAGAGTTCTAATCATACGTGAAGCTCTTTTTCTTTCTTTTTTTTCACATGTCTTAAAATCATGAATTATTAATATAATGTTAAAACAATGAAATACAGAATTAAATAAAAAAGATGTTATAAACCATAAAATTTTGAAAAATATAACTTTTAGAATTGAGAAATGTCTTTTTCAGAGCGGGAGATTGTCCTCGTCTTGTACGCCTCCATTCTTTCGGGTAAGAGATAGGTACCCTTCAATGTAATAAAAAGAATGGCAGTGTCCAGTTTTGCAATGAGAAACCCAAAATATGTGTCGGATTCAAACAGTAAAATAGAAGGTGCACAATGACACAATTTATATTGCAAAAATTGTTTGAAAGTCTCATTAAACTCAGGAGGAATTGAGGATAAAAGATGGTTACCCTTCAATACAATATAGATAGAAAGAATGGCAGTGTCCTCGTTTTGCTATTGGAGACCCAAATATGTGTCAGGTCAAAAAGTTAAATAGGAGACACATGCACAGTGGCAATATGCAACAAAGATTCTGTGAAAGTCTCATTAAATTTGATTCAGTGGTATAAGAGGAGTAGCGGAAAAGAGACGGGCACCCAGAGCGTAACGGACGGACGCACATCCCAATCACTATATATCCTCCCACTTTTCAAACGGGGGGTATAATAATATTATAAGCGTGTATTTCTTTTAACAAAACCCTCTCTGTGGTACCAGCAAGTTTTACTATTTGACATTGACCTCGGCGTTTGACCATCGTTTGAAATACTTTACCTTCGGCTAACTTTCAAATGGTTGTTACCGGGACTTTGATATTTACCGGTATACAAGTGTGTTTTATACCCCCTTTTTAAAAAATGGGAGGGCATTTAGTGATCAGAACCTGCCTCTGTAAGTCTGTCCGTTCCGCTTTGGGGCATCCATCTCTTATCCGCAACTATACCACTTAATGAAATTTTCACATCGGAATCAAATTTTGGATTTCCCATAGAGAATCATAGACACAGCCATTCCCTCTTATAATATTGAAGGGTACCCATCTCTTATTTGCAGCTCCTCCTATACCATACCACCGAATAAACTTAATGATACTTTCACAGATTCTTTATAACAAATGCCTTTATGTACCTTTCATTATACCTCCCGCTTGAAAAGTGTATATAGTGATCGGGATATCCGTCCGTCGGGTTTCCAAGAGCAACAGATGGACACTGCTTTTTTTCTATAAAATTGAAGGGTACCCATTTCTTATCCGCAGCTCCTCCTATACCTCTGAA